TATAAAAATAGCAATTTTTTTCTCACATTCAGATTTTTCCCTCCAGAATTCTGAGTTTACATGTAAACGCAAAACTATGAAAAAAGTCAGAATTGCGAGATGTAAAGCAAAACTCTACAAAAAAAGTCAAAATTGTGACATGTAAACGCAAAATTCTAACAAAAATGTCAGAGTTGCGAGATGTAAATGTGAAACTATGAAAAAAGTCAGAATTGCGAGATGAAAAGCAAAACTCTATAAAAAAAAAGTCAAAATTGCGAGATGAAAACGCAAAACTCTACAAAAAAAAAGTCAAAATTGCGAGATGAAAACGCAAAACTCTACAAAAAAAAAGTCAAAATTGCGAGATGAAAACGCAAAACTCTACAAAAAAAAAGTCAAAATTGCGAGATGAAAACGCAAAACTCTACAAAAAAAAAGTCAAAATTGCGAGATGAAAACGCAAAACTCTACAAAAAAAAAGTCAGAATTCCGAGATGTAAACGCAAAATTCTAACAAAAATGTCAGAATTGCGAGATGAAAATGCAAAATTATGAAAAAAGTCAGAATTGCGAGATGAAAATGCAAAACTCTACGAAAAAATTCTAAATTGTGAGATGTAAACGCAAAATTCTAACAAAAATGTCAGAATTACGAGATGTAAACGTAGAATTCTGAGAAAAAAGTCTGAATTGTGTGATATGAAACTTGCAATTGAGAGAATTATGAGTTAAGAAATCAGTTACTTTTTTTATATTTTTATTCCATGGCGGAAATAAGCTTCCATAAATACTAATGCTAACGGTTGCTTTACTAGATAGCAGTAGGATATTAGAACTAATTACTCTGTTGAAAGCATAATTATTTTACTCATTACTTATGAATTAAGACCTTGATTAACCTTTACCAAATGCACACAGACACACAATAACCTGTCCTTCAGTTGCTAAAAATCACTTCTCTGTGCAAAGCAGAAAACGGCACATGCATATTTCATCAGATTGCGTTTACTACAAATTTCAGTCATTTTCTGAATTATATAATTCAGAAAATGCTAAACATTTATCTGGTTTTAAGAAAATAACGTTTTAAAGCACAGATGCAAAAATTGCACGAGGATTTGAAGAGAGAAATGCATTTCTTCAGAATTTCTTCTTTTCCTGATAAAACTCGTCCTCCAGCACTAATAGGTGAAAAAGCGTCAGACGGGCTGCTTGACTCGTGCTTGATTAACTCTGTGCTAATTGGCGCTGGTGGAGAGCTGAGAAGGGCTGTAATTTATGTGGTGGCAAAGGCCCGGATCGCGTCCCGGCGCTACAGAGGAATGAGGTGAAATGTAAATGTATTCGCCGCCTGCGATCGCAGCTCCTGCGGTGCGTGAGAGCGAGAGAAAGCGAGAGCGGGTCACTGGAGCCGCGGCGGAGGCCAGGAGGACGATCCCTCGCAGCTGCTGTGCAAAGACCAGCAGAAAACCACACGACCTTGAGACGAGCTGAAGGAAGTGTTCAAGTTCATGCCGCAGAAGAGCAATGAAAATGACCTGAAGAGAGCATTTGTCTTCCAACACACTGCTTCATTTATTTAGAAATAATGCACAACTACATGGAGACAAACTTTTATTTAATTTTATTTTATATCAAATTTAAATTTTATTTTATTTTATTTATTTATATTTTATTTTTGTAATTTTTATTTTAATACTTTTATTTACTTATTTATTTTTATTTATTTTATATTTATTTTACATTTTCTTAAAATGTAAATTATTTTATAATTTAATTTGATTCCATTTAATTAATTGAATATATTTGTATTTTATTTTTGTATTTTTTCTGATAGTTTCTTAAATCAGACTTAACATTTACAAAAAAAAAAATAATATTTTATTTTATTTTTGTAATTTAAATTTTATTAATTAATTTATTTTGTATTTTACATTTTCTTAGAGTAATTAATTTTATTATTTAAGTTAATTTCATTAAATTTTATTTATTGTATTATATTTTTGTATTTTTACTTATTTTATTTTATTTGAAACAGCCTGCAGATGCATTCGTGTGAGTGTCTGTTTGACATTCTCGTGAGCCAGTCGCACTTGTCGGTGAAGAGGGTGTTGAAAGTAAAGAGAAGATCAAAGGATGTGCGCCTCTGAGAGCTTCATCCCTCTATATCTGATGACAAGACTCTTCTCATCCCCGCTCACTCGCTCCGACCGCCGAAGCTTCTTCATGCTTTCTCTGCACGACGGCTCCTCATCCGCTCACGTTCAAGGTGTAAACGTCAGAGAACTCAGCGGGAAAAAAACGTCAGAATTCTGAGTTTATATCTCTCAATTCTGACTTCCTTCCTCAAAATGGTTAGAAAGTCAGAAAAGTTACTTTTTTTTTATCCCATGGCGGAAACAAGCTTCCATAGTTTCCACGTCCTGCTGCAAACTAAAAGTCCATTTTTGTAAACTTTACTTATAAAGTGCAAAATAAAAGTCATTGTCTGAGTGTGTGGTGATGCTGCTCTGTTATGACTGATGGTTTCTGGGCCGTGTCCTCATTGGCTTTGCTGTGTGCTTGTGTGTCGCTGTGTGCTTGTGTGTCCTGCGGTGAAGCCACCGGCTCCGTGTGTGACACACACACACACACTCTCTCACACACTCACACACACACACACATTTTTGGCTTAAAAAAAAAGGATAATTTTGATATATACAAAAATACCCCAGCGACTTAAGACTGGTTTTGTGCTCCAGGGTCACATTTATGAGATCTATTAGTTATACAAGTAGTGCCTTAAATTTTCAGATTTTCAGATTGTTTTAAATATAAGAAATATTTATATACAGTTTCATGTCTGGTAAGAACCATTTCTGGCCCTTTTGGATGTCGTGTGTCCGTCAGAGGTAAGCGTGTCACATCCGTGTTCTCAGTGGTTTGCGTGTCCGACTCGACCCACAGGTCACGCGTGATGTCTGCTTAAAACACGCCACGTCCTCCGAAAACCTGCTGAAAGCTTCCTCTCCCTTCTGCCCTGGTTAAAACGCAGAGCAGAGATCCCATCTATCAGAGTTTATTTCTGCTGCTTTTACTCAGAACTTATTAGAGCTTCAGTCCTCTGCAGCACCGAGGGGTTAAACAATGAAACTTCTCTCATATACGGCTGACAGAACATAAGACGTGGATATGAATCAGAGCCGGTTTTGTTTCCCACATATGATTGTGACTGATTTCATCTCTTCCAGGTCTCATCCCAGACTCCGATCATCCGTACAGCAAGTTCGAGAACGAGTGAAAGCGAGGGATCGCACAGGAATCACTTCACCACGTGCTTTGCTCTTTTGAGACACGTCGGTTAACTTTAGGTTAGATGGAGCTGGACGGAAGCCGATACTGAGATGACCTTGTCAGTCCTTCCATTGGTTAGAAATCTCTCTCTAGTTATGAGTAATGTCTGTGTAGTTATGAATCAACACAGACTCTCTCTCTCTGTTCTCTCTGTCTACTCAAACACAACAGCATCACACTGCAAAAAATGATGCTCTTCTTCTGTATTTTTGTCTTGATTTCCAGTACAAATATCTAAACATCCTTAAATCAAGATAGCAAACTGAGACAAGATATGAAGTATTGTTTTTTGTATCGAAATGAAGTGATTTTAGGCTTAAAACAGGAACTAATTCAAAGGGAAAACGAGCTGATTTTTTTTGACCGCATTAGCGGATATTTTTTTCTAGTTTTAAGGATAAGCTCACTTTATTTTGATCAATTTTTCAGAAAATAATACTTCGTATCTCAAGTAAAATGCATCTTGATTTAAGATGGTTGAGATATTTGTTCTGGAAATCGACAAAAATACTGGGCAAGAAAATGTTTTTTTTTTTTTTTGCACATTTTTAATGAAACTGATGGAAAATGCCAAAAATGGCTGTTAGAATGTGATTATTATTTTGTGTTTCTTTGTTTTATTATAGAGAATTTGAGAACTAATTTATGCAAAAATTTAAATTCTGTGACGATTTATTCACCTTCGTGTCGCTTTTTTCTGCACAACAACAGTTCATGAGCGGTACTTTCAAAATAAGATGAACAATAAATACACCATAACTAGACTATATGATGTGCATGCCATATTTATATTAAGTCGTCTTATATTGAGTCATATGATGCTTTCTTTGGGAAACAGACCTAAGTTTTATTCACTGATAATCCACGAAGAGCCAAAAACATGGTGCAATAAATGCAAATAAGATTTCAGAACTTCAGTGGTGGTGATGATGATGATTAGTGAACTTAATTTCAGTCTATTTCTCACACAAAGCGTCAAATGACTTCAGAAATATAGTGCATGCATCATATGGACTACCTTTATGGATTCATATGATGCATTTTATGTTATTTAAAAAAATGCATCATATGGACTACTAAACTATTGTGGAAAAACCTGCATGAAGATGCAAAAATTCTTCTTTGCATTCTATGTAAAAAAACAAAAACAACGACATATGGGTTTGAAATGACATGCAGGTGAATAAATGATAACAGTTACATTTTGAGTGAATTATTGCACTTTCTGATTCAGTTGTGATTGCAAACTCAGCATCTTTTTAATCACTCGGGCTTCTGTTTGTATTTATACTGTGTGTTCTTATTAAAACATTTCCTAATAAAAACAAGCTTCCACTTTTAAAGAAACCACTGTGTGGACTGCAACATGAACGCATGATTTTTTTTGAAAGTGCCTTTAATAACTCAATGCATTTAAACACCGAGCAGAAAATCGTTCCTCTCCAGGCGATTTTGCGTCTTATTTCATGCCACCTGTTCTACGGTTCAGACGTAAGCAGCGTTTGAAACAGACAAGCGCATTAGTTATGTGGCTCATTCTGTGCCATAATTAGAATAACAGTGACATTTGTGCATTAGAGTGCAAAGGCAAAAAATCCAGAAATGCAAACATTTGGGCAGATCCGTGTAAATTTGCTGTAGATGCATGTGCTGCATGCTAAAGATGCTGAACGGAACAAGACGAGCGCAGCAGTTGCATGCAAGATTTAACACTGACCCTATTTACTTTCTTTATACGTGTTTCTGCATAATTCATCAGTGCATGTTATTCCAAGGAAAATGATACAGGAGAATCATAAATCTCTCTTATTTTTCATCCGAAAGGTCACATAGAGACACTTCACCATCAAATCAATTCTTCATGGAGGAAATTCATGGAAATACGTCAGATTATGAAACTTCACTTTCAAATATTTTATTTGGCATAAAGAAACTGAAGCCTAGTTTAGGAACATTGAGGTTTTTTTTTTTTTTGCATTATCATGACAATTTTTTTGTTTGTAAGTAAAATAGCCCATAAAGGGTTTATTTGTAATTATTTATTATTTAATTTTATATGTATTATTTTATTATTTCCGTGGTGGTACTATGGTACAGTGATGATATCAGATAGGGATACTGTGGTGTATCATATGCGTTTTTCTTCTTTTCCTGTATGAATTATGTAATGTACAGAATATTTTAATCCTTATAAAGAAATTGAAAAAATGTAAAACAAACTGTAAAAACATGGCAGTACTATGTATTGGATGAAATAAAATGACACACACACACACACATGATAATGAATTTTATTTTTATGTATTTTTTATTTTAGATATAATATATTTAAAAATATATATTTAATATATGTATACACACACATTTTTAGTTATTACAAATATTTAATGAATAGTGAATAAATGTATTTAATGAATAAATAAATGCATTTTATTTAATGGCACCTTTCTAAACACCCAAGGTCACCTTACAGCAAGCAAAATGATCAAATTAATAAAATTAGTAACAAAAGACAAACAGATCCTGCCAGCATTGCAAAATTCAACAGCACAACTGCATGCATCATAAATACGGTAGAGGCTTAATAAGAGCAAGTCATATAAATATATCATATTAAGTAAATATGAACATTTTATTATATATATATATGTGTGAACAACATGTATACACACACACACACACACACACATTTTTTAATGAATAATTATATTTACGTTTTTTTTTTTTTTTTTTTTTTTTTATTATATAATAAATAAAAAGAAAACCGATATAATAGAAAAATAATAGATCAAGCTTTTTAAAAAAATTTTTAAAGAAAACAAGCAGTTAGTAAATGAATAGAGTGCAAGTCTAAAATGGGCAAGTTTTTATAGAACAGAATTGATGAATAGAATTAGAATAGAGAGTGCTAGATTTAGAGGGTCAAATAAAGATGAAAGAGATGTGTTTTTAGCCGATTCTTGAAGATGGCTAAGGACCCAGCTGCTCGGATTGAGTTGGGCAGGTCATTCCACCAGGAGGGAACATTTAATGTAAAAGTCAGTG